CTTTCGAAAGTTGGATATTTCTTCTTCAGGGGAAAACTGTTTGCCCCTGAAGAAGAAAGGTCCACCTTTCGAAAGCGCTCGGGTTATAGGGTTTTGATAATTTTGTATCATAAATTTTATAAGATGATAAGTTTCTGAAAGCTACTTCTCGTCGTTCATTATTGCCTAGGTTCGAAAACCTAACATCTCAGTCGTTTCAACCACCAGAATATGTTAAAACTATGCATCGCCACTTCTATTCGAGATCCATACTGGAGACATACCAGGCACTGGGGGAAATGTAAACCTGGTGTTTTTTACTCAGATTGCATTTATTTTGTGTGATGTATTCGGATTATATGATTAATTTGATTACTTGATAATTGACGTAATTCATGACAATCACTGAAAGATTAGAGAATTGATAGCAATTAAAGAAACAATCAGTAATGAAAATAAAAGAGATACCTCGAGTTCCTCGTAGACATGAATCGGATCTGGAAGGCCACGGCCGTTAATACCCATATAGAAGTAAATACAAGCCCCCACATCGTAAGTCTGGGTTACTCGGTAGGAAACAAATGGTTGATGGGGTAATCCATGTGCTTCCGCTTCTCTTAGAATTCTGGCTTTAACATTTCTACAGAGGTCAAGGACTCTAAAAACAAAAACAAGTGTGTTGCTGTACAAATAAAATGAAGTTTTGTTGGTATATATTAACACTATTTGGTGGGTTTGATCCGTCAATAACAGCTCCGGTAAGCATAAATGGATAAGAACATTTTGATTATCTTACTGTAAAAAAAATTATACTAAATAAAAGGCACAACACTAATTCAAATTTATGGGTAGGGTTGGGGAGGGGGGTCAGTTTCGATTTGTTCTTCGAAAGCCATAATGTTGTTAATGCAGGGAAACTGTCGTATGGTACTGTAATTCCACGTTGCTTATCTAATGATTCACATTTCTTTACAAACCAATGTCGTATGATACTGTAATTCCACGTTGCTTATCTAATGGCTTAAATTACTTTGCAAACCAATGTCGTATGGTACTGTAATTCTACGTTGCTTATCTAATGGCTTACATTACTTTACAAACCAATGTCGTATGGTACTGTAACTCCACGTTGCTTATGTAATGGCTTACATTACTTTACAAACCAATGTCGTATGGTACTGTAATTCCACGTTGCTTATCTAATGGCTTACATTACTTTACAAACCAATGTCGTATGATACTGTCTGTTTTAATTATGCACAAAGCTACACAAGGGCTATCTGTGCTCTGCCCACCACGGGTATCGAAACCCGGATTCTAGCGTTGCAAGTCCGCAGACATACCGCTGTGCTACTGGGGGGCATAAATAATGGAGTGGAGGAACGGATGGGAGGAGAAAGCTACATAATTCTCGACTTTCGTGCTAAAAACTTCTGATATTTTTCTCACTTCAATTACTTTATCTCACTTACAGTAAACGTAGAATAGCCTAAGTTATTCTGGTTACTAAGACATAATACTTCTAATGAAAAACACTTCTGATGAAATAAAACTTGGTGTTATAGAACAAGAATACTTGGAAGCTTATATATGTATTTATAATGTGTATAGTTAGTTAGCTTCGATTTATTTTTAAACCATTCAAGTGTATAGAACTTTTACAAAAATCTACATTACAATTACTGTGAACAATGTTGAATTTGTACTCTTTTTAGTCTGTAATTAATTTCTTTGTATTTTTTGCTTCTGGCGGAATTAGAAATGGTCAATATATAGTTTTAGTTATCAATTCATTGAAGTTTGTTTATAAGCCTGTAAAAACGTTAAAAGAAT